GGCCGAGGTTTGGAGGTGTTACAAAAGAGTAACATTAACATACCATACAGACAGTAAATCTTAGCGATGATAGTATTGTTGGGAGTTGTGTTTGTTTGTTTTGTTCTGTTTTGTTAGAGAGAAAGGTAGTGTGGTCAAGTTTAGTTTTGAGTTTGAGTTAGTGTTTTACGGCACTTGCAGTACAATTATTTGGTCATATAACCGCCGAAGATTACAGAGGTGTTACAAGAGAGTAACAAACATCAAAAACATCATCATTTATTATTATTATTATTAAAAAAAGGAGGGGAGATAGAGACAATGTATTTTTAACAGGAAAGAAGGAGCAAACCACACCAGAGCACCCGCCAACCACCCACATAAAGTCACATAAGTGCCGAACATTAGAGAGGTACGTGTTACAAGAGAGTAACAAATATCAAAAGAAAAGGAGGAGGAGGAGAGATAAGGACGATAGATGTTTGATAAGAAAGAAAGAATAAGGAGCAACCTACACTAGAGCACCCACCAACCACCCATGACGCCAGACCTGGGCCACCAGAATGATATAAATATCGTCGGCCGGCTGTTCAGATATAAACTAGTGGGTGGTTGGCGGGTGCTCTGGTGTGGTTTGCTTCTTCTTTCTTATCAAACATCTATCGTCATTATCTCCCCTTCTTCTTTTTTATGTTTGTTACTCTCTTGTAACACCTCTAATCTTCTGGCGCTCATATGACCTCATGCAGTTGCGAGTGCCGTGAAACCTCTACTAAAACTAAAACTAAATAATTTTGAACATATATGTCACGTAGCGATGGAATCAGGCGCTTGTCAATTTTTGGACATGTGGAGTTATTGGTATCATTTTAAAGCTTGTTCATTTGTCTTGCTTTCGATGGAAAAAAAATACTCCTCTTTCATGAACAGAAGTCGCGACATCTGTGATTGAAGGAGGCGGGGGTCACCTAGTTTCAGGGGTAAAAATAGCGAGAAAATGGCCGCTAAAGTTTGGCGTCTTCCAAAGCAACAGTCTTTAGAAAATGCAAATTTGTGAGCCTTAAATCAACATTTTTCAGTAAAATCCACACCGAAATGTATTTTTTAATGGACCTCAAAAGTGCTGAGCCAAAAAATAAAAATTCGATCAAAATGTCCAAACTGGCACCAATTTCTGTATTTTGACGAGCGCCTGGCTCCACCACCTGCCTCCCATGTTTCTGTGTGCAGGGTTTTCATCTAATTAATCTATGGTGCTGGGGGTTTTTGTTTTTTTG